CCCCCCCCCCCCACCCCCCGTCCACCAAAGCACAAAGCACGGAACCCCCAACGGAGCTCTAAACTCCAAACCCATCGTGTTTGAGGAGCGTGTGTCCCTTGAAGCAGCTCTTTCTGGCGTTGGGTCACTGAACTGAGTACATGGAACAGGTATCTTCTCCGCACACCAGCAGCGTGAGCAACAATCCAGCAGTCCTTGCAAGCGTCAAATACAATTTTTGTTCCGATTTTCGATCCCCAACTCTGATATGCAACGCGCGTGCCATCGACCATCTACCGGCAAACAGCATCGGCGCTAGCCATTCAACCACGGAAATCTAAGCGTGTATCTCTAAGCATTCCCACGCACGTACGCCGCCGTCCTAATCTTAGATACACCTCCAGCCCAATCAATCACAAGTACATGGAGAGGTGATGCGCCGATGCGTCTGGTCGCTTCTTTTTCACCTCCCCGTACTCCTCATTCCACTCCCACACCCTAGACAACTCTCGCCCCTTCTCGCTCACGCTTGCAGTTAACTGCCACGCCGTGACACACATCCCAAAGAATGGCAAAAGAACAAATGGAATCAGAATTGCATCAGCAGGAGATCGACGGAGAGGTGGAGAAAAAGCAAGGACAAGCAGCAAACAATTTCACAAAAAAACAAAACAACAACGTTGTTTTTCCACACACGGAAGAGATGCACGCACGAAAACACAAGAAAGGATCGATCAGACGCGACCGGACCAAAGATACCGACACAGGAAAAATTGTGCAACAGACAACAGCGGGCACGAACACGACAAAGCAACACCGATCAGATAGNAACGGAAACGCCAACGACGGCGGGGTAGAGTTAGGGGTGGGTGGGGACGTAATCCAGGAGCAAGCGTACAGACACGTGGACACACACAATCAAGAGCGGAGGATACGTACGTCGTGGGCTGGACAAAAAAAAAGCCAAAGACAGCCATTTTCAACGAACATAGCACACGCATATGACGTGTTTCGTGCGGCGCCTTAGTTATTTTTGCCCGGCCACAAATCCTGCGGCAGTCAGTACAATAGTATAGTCAGTCCAGCGGAACGCCAACGGCACAATACTCAAAACCACCACCTCCAAAACCAACATCTGTTCGCAAACACACACAAACATCAACCAGGACGGTTCGAGCGTAAACGCCTACGATAAGGAAAACCCGCTGCAACGACTGTCGTGGGGAAGCTGTCCACCCCCCAATCTGCTCACCACCAAACAACGACCCTCCGCACGAACAAACGTTCTCCCTTCTCCCCTTGCCAAGCCCCTGCTCTATGTAGCTCTCTGCCTAGCCAAAAATATAAAAAAAAAGGCTTGAGTTGAGGCCGGGGCTCGGCCTATTAAACTCCAAGCAACGACCCTCCTGTGGTTTCACACATGACCAAAAACAAACGCACCTTTTTCCTGGCCTCCCAGAAGTCGTCCATCGTCACCGGCCTCAGCTGTGCCGTCAGATCGATCTCCTCCCTCACCCCGTTGACCCCGGCCCTGTCTAGCTCCTGGGCCTTTTCGTGGGCGATGCGCACCACTGCCTCGCGACACACCTGTGAAGGAAGTGAGTGCACCACCAGGAGACAGAGCCCGGTAGCGAGAGAGACGAGCGGGGGGAGGTCGTAAACATAGTGCAGGAAGAAATGGCGGCCCACGGCGTGTTTTCAGCGACAAGACTAGATTTCTTCACAACGACTTTTAACAATAGAGGACGTGCGGGCTGTGTACATTGGGCAAGACAGACAACATTGCCACCACGAACATCCACTAATTAGCCTTGCATCACCAACCCTCAACGACGAGGAGGGCTATCTGGTACACACCGAACAGAGAGCTTCAGCAAGACACATCCAAACTATTTCTGCAACCACAAGCCATCTCCACAGCACCACAAGACCACCTTGGTCATGACCCCCAACAATAACAACACACCCAACCTTGTACAGTAAAAACACAAAAAAAAGCGCCTACAAAAGTACCTCCTTGATGTCGCTCCCGGTGAACCCCTCCAGCTCCTCTGTGATGGCCGTGAAGTTCACGCTGGCGTCCACTCTATTCTGAGCCATGGACACCTTCAGGATTTCCTCTCGTGTCTTGTCGGTCGAGTTTTGAAACCGACACACCGAAAGGCCGAACGACGCGGAAGAGAAACAGAAGGAGGTTAAGTGTGACGTGCATGCCACCGGACACTTCTGCAGACACATTTCTTTGCGGACGGGGTTGGCGAGCTCGTCACCACAAGGAGAGGAAGGACCTAGCGAGCGAGCGGTGCAAGAAACATGCTACCAACGACCCACGGAAGCTGCAACGACGGCAACAATGAGAAGGAGGAGGAGGAGGAGGAGGAGGAGGACCTCAAACAACCCCCCCTACCTTGCCCCTCCTCGGTACCCGCCCCACCCCCCCTGCAAAGAATAACCACACCTCGGCAGCCTGAGGGGGGATTTTCACTTACTTACCGTGCCCACGACAACCACCACGCTGGGCCCAAGCCCCCGCAAAAAAAGCTGACTCTCTTTTCCTTTCATCATTACTCCACCCAGGTCAGATTTCATTAAACAAAACGACGAGGGTCCTAGTGGGCAGTCAGTCTCTCCCACCCCCCAAAAAAAAAGTACCATGCTCAACCCCCGGAACTATGAATGAAAACAACGGACAACTTGAAACCGAATCAGCGCCCCCCCCCCCCCCCCCCCCCCCCCCCCCCCCCCCCCCCCCCCCCCCCCCCCCC